CAGGGGGCGGGGCCGGGGGCGGCGCGGAGGCAGCGGCACCTTTTGCCGGGGAGGCCGACGCCGCTCGGTGATTCCGGTTGTCCAAACACGGCCCCAGGATGGATGGTGCGCGCGGCACAGCGACGACGACCACAACGTCGTCCTGGTGGGAGGCGCGCGAGCACCATGCGTCACCACGGACGGCGGCGAAGGGCGAGTGGCGCGCGCGCGGCTACCGACGCCGAGTACTGCGCGGTGCTGGCGGTGCTGGTCGAGGCCCTAGCCCCCTCGTCCCGGCGATCCCAGGTAGAGCGGCTGGGGCTGGTCCTGTACCCCGAGCTCTTATTGAACGTGCAGCAGGTGCAGCCGCTGCTCCACACGCGCCTTGCGCCATCTGGACTGGGCGCTCCGCCCAGCGACGAGCTGCTCAAGAACATCACCCCCGTCACTGCCCCGGCCCTGAGGAGACTGGCACTGCACGTCTTGCTGCACAAGGGCGAGCTCAGGGCAGCCCTCACAGTGAACCCCTCGCTGCACATTCAGATCTTCTGCAATAAGTGGTGCGAGGCGTGCACTTTGGGCTGGCTTCGAGAAGTAAAATGAGGTGAGGTCGAGTGCGAGCTGATGGGCCTCTTCTCGCACGACCCGGAAAAGTGTCCTCTTCGGAAGATCACGCTGATGACTGGCAAGGCATCTGGTACTACCCTTATGTGACCTCGGTGACATGGATACGTGTGTGAAGTATTTGCGCTTTATTGTGCTTGTCCAGTTTCTTTGTTCTTTGTTGGTGAGTGTTAATTAGACGGTAAATAAATGGATAAATGACTGTCGTGTTGGCAGTCATCTCCCGACTCGAATTGCTAGTGCCAATGCTTAGCCACCGCCGATGCGTGTGTTGGTAATGGCGAAAGGGTCGTCCTCGTCACCATCATGTCCATGTCCTCCTCGAGGGTGACCTGGTGACGCTGCGGCCCTGGCTGCGCTGATGGGCCGGGAGCACGACGACGCGGCTTCTGCGACTCTGTCGCTCAGTCTCTCTCTCTCACACACTCGTATACACACACAGAGGCTGCTCAGGGCGACCCGGACCAGAAATACCACCGTCGAATTAATCGGCTTGTCACCGTGTTCGCTTTCCCCTCGACGGAGGCCCGGGCCGCCCCCGCCCCGTCCGCGAGGCCCCGGGGAGCCCGCGCGGGCGCCGCCCCCGCCATTGGGCCCGACGTACCCGACCTACCCCGAGCTGCGAGGATGTCGTTGTCACAAGCCCTCGTGGGTTTCGGACGTTTCCTCGCCGGCGAACGTGGCCTGCGACTGCCGCCTCCTGACGGGATTTAATGAAGATGCCCCC